CTTGGACTTAACTTTAGTTATAGGTCTAGCAGCAACAATGGGTGGTTGGGGCAGTTTCTGAGAACATTCAGCAATGTCTTCCATAGCCTCAGGCAATGACTCAGCTAGAACAGTTGGGCTAATCCCATCAAACTGAGGTGGAGGGGATAATGGCTTTATAATAATCCCTTCAGATGGGAGGGATTCGACAGAATTTACAGGCTCTGTGTCCTGATCTTCTTTACTATCTTCTGCCCATATGTTGCTATTCCAGGTTTCAGGATCCCATTTTTTTCCTAATCAATGCCCTCACTTTAACTTCAGACACCATTCTGGGTTGGCAATTTAATTGACATTGTAATTCAGCCACCCTTACAATAAAACTCTGGATTTGGTTTTCAGCAATATCTGCTCTGTTACTAGAAGATATAACACTTTCTTTCAGAGCACAACTGGAAGCACTGAGGTCTTTTATGCTGCGCTTAAGCCGAGACTCAGCAGCCCTGAGCTCATCTCACTCTTTTACCACTTTGTTGAGTGTAAGTAGGACCAACCAACCAGCTTCCTTATACTCCTCATGCTGACAAAATTGCAGAAAAGTATCAAATATCCGATCACCCAGAGCATCACTTCTCACAAGTACTTGATCTATTGGTGGTGCTATTTCATGTATTAATGTTGCCACCTCATGCCACAGGTTAGCAGGGCCCTCTTTACTGACAGAGGCAGGGTCACTAGTGTCTTTACCACTAATCAAATTGGAGAACCAATTTAGGAAGCCCATCCCTATGATTTTGTCTCTCTAGACCCCACTCTCGGTACCAAATGTGTTAGACTGGGTTCTCTAGAGAAACAAAACCAGTAAACCACATATATATATGTATATAGAGAGAAATTTATCTTAGGAAAATGGTTCACACACTTATGGAAGCTGGCAAGTCCAAAGTTCCTGGATCAAACGTCAAGCTGGAGGCTTTTCCACATCAAGCTGGAGCCTTTTCCTGACTCTTGCAGCCACAGGGGCTGTAGGCTGGCAGGCAGTACACTGGCTGTAGACTCCAATGAATGACGAATCCAAGATCTCCAGGACGAATGGTGGATTGTTCACTCATGGACAGTTGTAGGCAGCACAACAGAATCCCGATCCACAGAAGCATGTCTCCTCTCCCAGGATGTCCACAGATATACTGGAAGCAGGCCATACCCCTAGGGAAACTCCCTTTCAACAGATTGGCTGCTCAAAACATAATCATCTGATCCCATCATGGGAACAACCACACCACAACAACTCAAATCACACAGAATTGTGGTCCAGCCAATTGACACACAGCTCCAATTATCACACTGTCCAGAGCAAAGAAGAGTGAAGAAAATTGAGGATGTATGGAAAAATTAGTCCAAGGGATTAGTGGACCATCATACCTCAGCCTTCAAGATCTTGATATCAGAACAACTAAATGGTGTCTGGCTACCACTGCTGCCTTCTCTGAAAGGGATTACAATAGAGATCCTGGAAAAAGTGAGAGAAAAATGTGAAACAAAATTAAAAAAAAAAAAATGCTAGGTTTACTAGTCAGAGAGACAGGTTGAATCCCAAGACTATGGCCCTTAGTCACTCTTCAAGCCTAGAACTGAACTCAACCCTGTGGCTTAACTGTCAGCCAAACATAGAAAGGCCTATAAGGTGAACAATAAAATCAGGTAGGTTTGCACTCTTAAAAACAACCAACCATAGATGATCAAAGAAGAGCATTTGTCCAGGGATAAACCTCAGAAGGCAAGAAAGGACAGGAAAGAAGGATGAATGGAAATGGTAGACACAGGGAGGAAGTGGGGAGAATGCTGTTACATTGGGGGGGATTGACATCAATGTCAGGAATCAAAATGTGCATGAATTGCTGGATGGAAACTCAATTTTTTTCTGTAAACTTTCACCAAAATCACAGTAAGTAGTTAAAAGAAATAAATAATTGCACATAACTTTGACAAGGTCTACCTAACAACTCAGCCCTATTTTTAATCTTTCTCTGAGTTCTTTTGTAAATGATTATTGATCTAACACACTGCCACTGAATTTTTGGCTTTGTTTGTTAATTTATTTAATTTTGTGACAAATGTTAATATTTTAGACTTATCAAGTGGCATTCTTGGATAAATTGTTTCAAAAACATTATCACATTATCTCCAAAATGACTCAGTGGTAAGAATTATTTCAGATGCACTTTTATAGATTTTCCTCTGACTCCAAGGTAGTCTTTCTTAAAGACAATGCAAATTAAGGATTGAGAGAAATACAGTAAACATTTTTGCTCATAGGTGGTACAATTTAAACTTATGTGAAAACGGTTTACTCTTAGCTCTTCATCCCTGTGGGAAGCATACACACACATACAAACACACACACATACAGAGGTTTTGTGTATTTTTTTTCCTCTGACTCTAATTGGAGTAGGTCTATATTTTACTTTCTGTAACTTACTTTTTCTCATCTGAAAACAAAAAATACCAAGCCCATGGTCATTGAATGCATTCCAATTCATTTGTTGTTGTTGTTGTTGTTGTTGTTGTTGTTGTTGTGTGATGTCCAGTCAGATCTGACTCATAGCAACTGTTCCTTGGATTTCCAAGGCAGAATCACTATGGAAGTAGATTGCCCAACCTTCCTTCCAAGGAGTGGCTGGTGGGTTTGAACAACCAGCCCAATTTGTAGGGAACCCCACTGGATTTATAAGGCTATAAATCTTTATGAAAGGAGCTCTGGTGGCACAGTGCCTAAGGCATTTGACTGCTAACCACAAGGTTGGTGGTTCAAACCCTCCAGTCACTCCTGGGAAGGAAGATTGGGCAATCTACTTCCATAGTAATATTGCCTCAAAAACCCAAGGATGAGTAACTACAAGTTGTATCTGACTCAACGGTAGTGAGAAAATCTTTATGGAAGCAGATTGTCTCATCTTTCTTCCTCAGAGTCCCTGGTAGGTTCTAATCACCGACCTTTCCACTAGCAGCCAAATGCTTTAACCACATCACCAGAGCTCCTTTTTTCTCACCTTGGAATTATTATTATTATTTTATGATAATTATGCTTTAGCCAAGAAAGCTGAGAGAAACTTGGAATGCAAGGTCTAAAATCAAACCAACAGCACTCTTACTTGGTTGATATGACAACAGCATCCAGTCTGTCTGCTGTCCATCTTGACAGCATATCATAATTACGTAAAGCTGAAATAAAAGGAATAAAACCAAGATGTTAATGAAAATGGACAAATAAAAGAACAATGTTTTCTTCACTGAAATCCTACTACACTTACTTTATAACCCGTGGTTCTCCACCTGCCAGTGGCATTGCTAAGGTTGGTGTCACCTGGTATGATAACTCATGATGTCACTAAGAATTCTTAGTAATGTTTATTATCAATTTTAATCATAGAATATATGTGATAAATAAAGTTGTAAATTTCTTTAATGTAATAATTCTTGGGTTATATGAATATTTTCTTTTATAAAATCTATTTTTGTTTACAGCATTATTAATAAATGGATGGAAACCTTTTTCTCCTTCTTTTCCTTTAATTACTATTTCATTATCAAAAAACATTTATCGATACAGATTCACAAAAACTTATTACAACATATTGTAGATAAAGCATCAGAAAATTTGACGAATTGGTGATTATACAAACACCCACAGCAATGAAAGCAGCAGCATGTGGTTATAGCACCTGCTTTTACCCTGTGCAGAAGAAAGCACATGATTCCAAGCATCACTGTAATCAGATAATAATGACAGCTCTGACCAGAGAATGCTAGGAGATTCAAAAAGTACATCAACACAGAGCTTTAGCCTTGTAGGCATGTTGATACATGTAAGCTGGGCTTGCAAAAAATGTTTTTGTTGTTATAGCTAACTGTTGTTGTTTGTTGTTAGGTGCTGCTGAGTCAGCTCCGACTCATAACAACCCTATGTACAACAGAACGAGACACTGCCTCGTCATGCACCTTCATCATAATCTTTGCTATACCTGAGCACATTCTTGCAGCCCTGGGTCAATCCATCTTGTTGAGGGTCTTCCCTGTTTTTGCTGACCCTCCAATTTACCTAACAGATATACTTCTCCAGGGAATAGTCCTTTCTGACCACATGACCAAAGTAGGTGAGATGAAGTCTGGACATTGTCGCTTCCAATGAGCATTCTAGCTGCACTTATTCCAGGACAGGTTTGTTCATTCTTTTGGTGGTCTATTGTATTTTCAGCATTCTTCACCACCACCACCACAACTCAAAAGCATCAACTCTTGTTTGGTCTTCCTTATTCATTTTCCAGCTTTCACATGCATATGAGGCAACTGAAAATCCCACGGCTTGAGGAAGGTGCACCTTAGTCTTCAAAGTGACATCTTTGCTCTTCAACATTTATCACACAATCTTCATAATGACTCAGTGATTAGAATTATTAAGATGCACTTTTATAGATTGAGGTCTTTTACAGCAGATTTGCCCATGCAATACGTCATCTGATTTCTTGACTGCTGGGTGTTGATTGTGGATCCAAGTAATATGAAATCTTTGACAACTTCAATTTTTTTTTCATTTATTGTCATGGTGCTCACTGTTCCAGTTGTGAGGATTTTTGCTTTCTTAATGTTGAGTTTAATCTATACTGCAGTCTTTGTTCATCAGTAAGTGCTTCAAGTCATCTTCACTTTCAACAAGTAAAACTGTGTCATTTGCATATCAGGTTGTTAATGAGTCTTCCTCTAATCCTGATGCTGCATTCTTTTTCATATATATAGTCCAGGTCCTCAGATTATTTGCTCAGTGTATAAATATAGTTGCATACAGATTGAATAAATATGGTGAAAGGATACAACACTGACACACACAATTCCTGATTTTAAACCATGGAGTATCCTCTTGTTCTGTTCGAATGACAGCCTCCAGGACTATATGCGGGTTCCTCATGAGCACAATTAAGTGTTCTGGAATCCCCATTCTTCTCAATGCTATCCACAATTTGTTATGATCCACACAATCAAACACTTTTGCTTAGCCAATAAAACACAAATAAACATCTCTGGTACTCATTGCTTTCAGCCAAGATCCATCTGACATCGGCAATGATATCCCCTCATTCCACTTCCTCTTTGAATCCAGGTTGCATTTCTGGCAGTTCCCTGTTAATATACTACTGTAACCATTTTTGAATTATTGTCAGCAAAATTTTACTTGTGTGTGATATTAATGATATTTTTTGATAATTTTCTCATCCAGTTAGATCACCTCTCTTTGGAATGGGTAAAAATATGGATCCATTCCAGTCAGTTGGCCAGGTAACTGTCTTCCAAATTATTTGGCACAGACAAGTAAGTTCTTCCAGCATAGCATCTGTTTGTTGAAACATCTCAGCTGATATTCTGTCAATACCATTAATTCTTCATAATATGCTACCTCCTGAAATAGCTGAACATTGGCCAATAATTTTTTGTACAGTGACTCTGTGTTTTCCTTCCATTTTCTTTTGATATTTCCTGCATCATCCAATATTTTGTCCATAGAATCTTTCAATATTGCAACTTGAGATTTGAATTTTTTCTTCAGTTCTCTCAGCTTGAGAAATTTCAAGCATGTCCTTCCCTTTTTGTTTTCTAACTCCAAGTCTTTGTACATTTCATTATAATAATTGATGTTGTCTTCTCGAGTTGCTCATTGAAATCTTCTGTTCAACTCTTTTATCTTGTCATTTCTTCCATTTGCTTTAGCTACTCTCCATTCAAGAGCAAATTAGTCTTTTCTGACATCCATTTTAGTCTTTTCTTCCTTTCTTGTGTTTTTAATGACCTGCTTCTTTCTTTACGGATGATGTTCTTGATGCCATCCCACAACTTGTCTGGTTTTCTGTCATTGGTGTTCAATATGTCAAATCTATTCTTCAGATGGTCTCTAAATTCAGGTGGGATATAATCAAGGTCATATTTTGGCTTTTGTCCACTTGTTTTAATTATCTTCAGCTTCAACTTGAAATTACATGTGAGCAGCTTGGTCTGTTGCAATCAAATCCTGACTTTGTTTTGGCTGAAGATATTGAGCTTCTCCATCACCTCTTTCCACAAATGTCATCAATCTGATTCTTGTGTATTCTATCTGGAGAGATCCACATGTATAGCCACTGTTTCTGTTGTTGAAAAAAGGTATTTGCAATGAATAAGTAGTTAGTCTTTCCACATTCTATCATGCTATCTCTGGTGTCATTTCTATCACCAAGGCCATATTTTCCAACCATTGGTGATTCTTCTTTGTTCTCAACTTTCACATTCCAATCACCACTGATAATCAATATATCTACATTGCATACTTGATCAATTTCAGACTGCAGAAGTTGGTAAAAATCTTCAATTTCCTCATCTTTGACTTTGGTGGTTGGTGGATAAATTTGAATAATAGTAGTAACTGGTCTCTCTTGTAAGCATATAGATATTATGTTATCAACAACAGCATTGTGCTTAAGTTTAGATCTTGAAATACTCTTTGTTATGATGAATGTGATGCCATTCCTCTTTAATTTGTCATTCCTGGCACAGTAGATTATATGATTTTCTGATTTAAAATGGCCCAAACTAGCCCATTTCAGCTGACTAATGCCTAGGCTATCAATCTTTATGCCTTCCATTTCATTTTCGACAACTTCCAATCTTTCTACATTCATATTTCATACATTTTGTGTTATGATTATTAAGGGATGTTTGTAGCTGTTTCTTACAATTTTGAGTCATGTTACAACAGCAAGTGGAGGCCCGAAAGCTTTGCTCCTTTTGCATCATTAAGGTTGACTCTATTTTGAGGGTGCAGCTTTTCCCCATGATATGTTGTGTGCCTTCCAACCTGAGGGGTTCATCTTTCAGCACTATATTGGACAATGTTTCAGTGCTATTCACAAAGTTTTCCAGTAAAATATCAGACACTGTTTTACTGCTAATCATAATGTTTTCACTGGTCAATTCTTTGAGAAGTGGATGACCCCTTTCTTCTTCCAAGTCTGTGTTAGTCTGGAAGCTCTGCTGAAACCTGTCCACCATGAGTGACCCTTCTGTATTTGAAATATCAGTGACATACTCCAGCCTCACAGCAGCATGCAAGCTGCCACAGTGTGACAAAGTGACAGACAAGCTGTACTATAACTAACTACAGGGATATTTTTATGAAATATAAAATTTCTGCTGAAACACCATACAAAAATTTTATAGACAGTCACTTTGGTGTCATCCTGTCTAACAGTGTCTTCACCCCCACTTCACTAGTGATGCCACTGTCATAGGATACAAAGATGAAAGGACAAGCCATTGACTTGACCAGTGTATTGTCTATATAGAAGCCAAAGAGATACAAAAGGAATTGTGATAACATAGAAGGGCCAACTAAGTGAGTGTGGAGACAATAGAAAAATCTTCTGAAAATAAGTTGGATAGAATTATGTCTGTTTAGTAGACAGAAAACACAATGCTGGGATTTCTCATTTGTTACCAACATCTGCACTGCCATACTAAAAAATGTATCTGGCTTAGGCTTGTCTGTGCTTCTTTTCTTCTTATATTGGAGGAAGACTCAATGTTCTTCTATTCATTTCCAATATTTCTATCAATGTCCAATCATTTATCCATGCTTTGAATCTACTTCTTATTCCTTTATTATGTTCCTCCATCAGTCAACACACTCAACCTTCTATTTCTCTAATATATTTCTGTTTATTGACTTCATTTCTTTCAGTCTTCTGAATTGCTCACATCTCTCCAAATAAAATAAAATACTTTTATTTAAGTTTTCTTTGGATCTATTCCTAGGAGCTCTGGTAGCATAGTGCCTAAGGCATTTGACTGCTAACCAGAAGGCTGGCCAATCAAACCCACCAGCCACTCCTTGGAAGGAAGATTGGGTGATCTACTTCTATAGTGATACCACCTGGGAAATCCAAGGAGGGGTCTCTATATGCCGGATCCAACTTGATAGCAGTGAGTTCAGAGTTTGGTGGATCTATTTCAACCTATCTCACTCTTTCCTTTCAAAGCTAAGTACCTTTAAGGCCATCAATCACTCTTTCTACATTCTTAACTCTCAGTTTTTGCTTGATGCCATGTGTTTCTATACGAACATTCTCTCAAACATGTCCTCAACAAGATCAACATACGAAGTTCACTGTCAAAAGACATGCTTTCATCTTTATCTTATTTAATATCTCTATATCATTCAGTACTTTTTATTACTCCTTTTTCTCTTGAGACTCTCACCTTCTTTGCCTTTCTTTTCATTTTATTGTCTCTTTGATAATTTCTTCTCATCATGCTGCTGGTAGCTTATTCCTCCAATGAAATGTTATTTCTGTGTTTCCTAAGAATCTATCCTTACATTTTGAGTCTTACTAGTGTATAGAAGGCAATCAAATTATATCCAACTACTTACTGTCTGTCTGCTAAGTTTCCACATCAATTGGCCCATGCTATTTGGTTTCAGGCTTGTAATATTTTTTGTATAGACTGATTTATTCCTACTGTAGGAGTTCAGAGTTATTAATTTAGACTTCAAGTCAATTTCCACACTCTCATTTGGTCAATATTCCATTAATTTGAAGTAAAGAGATAAATATTAAGGAGTCTGGGATTAGGGAGAGTTAGGTGATTTTCTCAGAATCACACAATTAATTGGAGCCTCTATCACAAACCTTCCACTTCCAAATATACTCCTCTCTCTACTCTAAGACTGTACATCAAAAATTTGCAATCTGCAAACTTGATCTTGATTACCCTGGCCATGAGTCAGAAATGATTTCACAACAACATATTTGTCTTGTTTTTGTTTGTTTTTATTTCATTCATTTTTCACTGTATGATTTATGTATTTGTCAGTTGATTAGTACTAGGTCATTATTAGAATGTAAACTCCAAGAATGAAAAAAAAAAAAAAAATGATCTCTTCAAAGATATAACTCAAAGCTTTTAAAATAATGCCTGGCACCAAATAAATCTGTGAATAAATGCATTAACAAATCAAGTAGCCCTTAATGTCAAATGGAGAGAAATAGAAAATTGTAAACTATGTGCTCTTAGAGTGATTTCAAGAAATAGAAAAAATTTAGACTTTTCAAGTCTACCTGGGTTGATAAGAAAAGCAGGGATTGAAGGAATGATTTGCACCTCTAAGCAGAGTAGAAGGAGCTCTGGTGGCATAATAGGTAAGACATTTGGATGCTACCCAGAAGGTTGGGAGTTCAAACCCACCAGCTGCTCTGCAGAAAGAAGATGGGTCAATCTACTTCTATAAAGATTTACAGATTCAGAAACCCAGTGAGGGTCACTATGAATTGGAATCCACTCAATGGCAGTGAATTTGGTTTGGAGTTTTAGGCAGAGTAAAATCTTGCCAAGGGAACAAAGAAAGGGCAAGAGATTGTAGAGTATTAGTTAAAGGTCATTATATTTAGAAGGGGCTTTCATGGTCCAGGTTAAAGATTACAGCTAGTAAACAAAAGGTTGGTTGTTCAAAACCACCAGCTGCTCCATGGAAGATAAGTCAATCTGATTCCACAGAGATTTCCCACTATCTAAACCCTACAGGGCAGTTCTGCTATGTTCAGTACAATCACTATGAGTCAGAATCCACTTGATGGGAGTGGAATGGTTTTGGTATTATACTTAGATATTACTCAAGCCTAGAACTGAACCCAGCCCCAGAAATAAACTTTCAGTGAAACAATAAAGAGGCCTTTAAAGTAAATAGTGAATAAAAACACCAAGGGGGAATCAGTAAAATCAACCATACAAGATCAAAAAGGGGTGGGGATTGGGGGGGCAGGGGGAAGAAGCTCAATGCCATCAAGTGTACTTCTACTCATAGCTACCCACTTTGGGTTTCCAAGGTGGAAGCAGACTGCCTCATCTTTCTCCCACCAAAGCAGCTGATGAGTTCAAACCACTGAAGTTTTGGTAAGCAGCCAAATGCCTTAACTACTATACCGCCAGAGGGACAGGAAGGACAAAAGGAAATGGGGAACCCAGGGGAGGAAGTGGGAAGAGTGCTGTTATAATGAGGGAGTAGCAACCAATGTCATGAAACAAGATATATATATATATATAT